CGGCAGGCGTCCGAACCCCCCCCCCCCCCTCCCCCTCCTCCGCCTCCCCCCCCCCCTTCCCCCCTTCCCCCACCACCACCAGAGCACGGATAGAGGACATCGCCACCCAACTCACACTCAACTCACACCCATTTCCTCTCTTCCCTCCCTCCGTTCCTCCCTCCTCTCCCTTCCTCCTCTACCACACGCTCGGCACCGTCGCCATGGATCGGCTACATGGCGCCCTGGCCCGTGCGGGGGCGCAGACGCAGCGGGCGCACGCCCGGAAGCCCGCACGCCCGGGCCGCTACCATTGCAAGGCGTGCAACGTGTGGCTCGCTGGCGACAAGCGGGCTCGTGCTGTCCATGAGGCTGGTGCCAAGCACCGCGAGGCTGTCGATGCCCTGCTGCTGCGCCAGCGCATGGCCGCAAAGGCGAACGCCAAGGCGGCCAAGGCCGACGCCGACATGCTAGCCGCCATCGACGCAGAGGCCCGCGCCGCACTCGCCCGCGATCTCGGCGCTGCTGCCGGACCGGGCCTCGCCGTGCCAATCGCCCTTTCTGAGCCAGCCGGAGAGCCTACTGCGTGTTCTGAAGGTGTCGATGCCGGCGCTGATACCGATGCTAATGCCGATGCCGTGGCCAGTCTTGGAGCGGTAGCCGATGACGATACCACCCTGGGATCGACACAGTGGCTCTCGGTCGAAGAAGGCGAGGCCCGGGTGCTAGCCGGGCGGGCGTGGGACGAGGCGCGTGCTGCTGAAAAGGCCGAGACAGACATTGCCGCCATCGAGGCCAACCGCGATCGGGCGGCCATGGCCGGTAAGGTCACTGTCGACTCGATCCGCGCCGCGCAGGCGTCTGTGGACCAGCTTTTGGCCGCCGATCTTCCGGCACCAGCACCAGCCGCTGCCCCGGTCGTCTTTAAGAAGAAGAAGCGCAAGCGAAAGGCCGCAGCCTCTGTCATGGGCCCGCCAGCTGCCGCTCCAACCCCGCCAGCTGCCGCTCCAACCCCGCCGCCCGCCACCGTCCTGCCTCCCTCCAAACGTCCCAAGCACGAGTAAGCCGAGCTTCGGCCCTTCGGAATCAATTCCACATACCGATCCGTCAGGCCCAGCATCCGGCCATGCCGAGCCCAGCCCGCCGAGTCCGCCCGCCGGTCGAGTCCGGCCCGCGCGCCTGTCCCCTGGCACCCACCGCTCCCACCGCTCCCACCGCTCCCACCGCTCCCACTCCGCCTCCAGCCAGTGAAGCCACCCCACCCCACCCCACCACACCACACCACACCACACCACACCACACCACACGCTCCAAACATGCTTGCCGCCACCATGCGGGCTGCCTCGGCCGCCACCACTTCCGCCGCTACCGCCACCGCCGCCACCGCCGCCACCGCCTCCGCCCGGTGGGCCCACACCCTCGTCCTCCTCCGGCACGGCCAGTCGCAGTGGAACCTGGAGAACAGGTTCACTGGCTGGGTCGACGTTGCCCTCACCGACGACGGGCGCAAGGAGGCCGCCACCGCAGGCGCAGCTATGGCTGCCGCAGGCCTCGAGTTTGATGCCGCCTACACCTCGGTCCTCAAGCGGGCCATCTCCACCCTCAACATCGCCCTCGAGGTCATGGGCTCCGAGTGGCTCCCGGTCTCCCGCTCGTGGCGCCTCAACGAGCGCCACTACGGCGCGCTGTCGGGCCTCAACAAGGCCGAGACCGCCGACAAGTTCGGCGAGGACCAGGTCCTTGTCTGGCGCCGCTCGTACGATGTCCCGCCGCCGCTGCTCGACACAGACTCGCCGTACTGGCCTGGCCACGACCGCCGCTACGCTGGCCTCGACAGCGACATCCTACCGCGTGGCGAGTGTCTCAAGGACACTGTCGAGCGCATCATGCCGTTGTGGGAGGGTGAGATGGGCCCGGCTATCGCCGCCGGCCAGCGCCTCGTCGTCGCTGCACACGGCAACTCCATTCGCGCTCTCGTCAAGCACCTCGACAACATCGACGACAACGACATCCTCGGTATCAACATTCCCACGGGCGTCCCGCTCGTCTACACTCTCGACGACTCGCTCCGCCCCATCCGCCAAGAAAACTCGGCTGGTCTCCTCTCTGGCGTCTACCTCGGCGACCCCGACGAGGTCGCCGCCGCCGCCGAGGCCGTCCGCAACCAGTCCGCCGCCACCGCCCACTAGCCCCACGCCCCATCCCACACACCCACACACAACAGCAAACACATGCTCATGCCCGTGCACGCTCGTAGACTGCTGCACTCAGGCCGCCGTCCACCCCGATCACCTTCGACGAGCGCGGCTCCATTCGCCGCCGCCACCCCGCAACCACAAAACCGAGCCACCTCGCGTGGCTTGACGCCCATCACGTTTCCGGTCACATCCTGCATGGCTGCTACACCCAGCCTGCAAACCACAACTCCCGATGCTTGCACTTCCTCTTTGGCGCCTGCGGGCGCGCATGCCGACGATCTCCCCCCGGAGCTCCTGCTCATCATCTTTGGCTTTCTCGATCCGGTGACGCTCAACCGCGTCGCCGGTGTGTCGAGGAGTTGGCGGCAATGGGCCCGCGATCCGGTGCTGTGGAAGACGCTCTCCGCCCGCCACTTTCCGGCCACGCGCGGCTCAAGGCCATCAACCGACTGGTACAAGCTCTACCGCGGCATGTTCCTCGCTCAAGTGCCGCGGAAGCGGGCGGCCATTCTGCGGGCAACCGACTCGACCGTCGACGTCCCGCCGCTCCCGCGGGCTCGGCCGCGGCCTTCGACCCGTGGCCGGCTCGCCACGCTCGTTTTTCCGCGCCTGCCGTTTGCGGTTGACCTCGACGAGATTCGGGGTCTCGCTTCTGCGCACGGCTTTGTGCTACAGGCCATCATCCGGAGGCGGCGGGCGTGGCGCGGGACAGATCGCGTGTGGTCCCACCCACGGCCTGCGCGTTCTGCCACCAGCTCGGCCACCGGCCTCGACGCGTGGGCAGAGGTCTTTATCAGGTTCCATCGTCCTGTCGACGCCCTTGCTGCTGCCGCGCATCTAGCCGACCTCACCTTTAACGGCATCCGCGTCGGCGTCGCCTGCCGCGACATGCATCTGTGAGGATGGCACTACACGTGCGACGGTGGCGGCGGAGCCGATGGGCGACGTGCCGGTCGAGGTGGCCGCGGAGGCGACGACGACGAGAATGAGCTCGTAGTAAACGACGGCTTGGGGAGGAGGGGGGCGCTTGGAGTCCGCCCGGTGAAGATAATGGCCGCGACCGAGTCGGTGGCTTGGGTGCTAGCCGCGGCGGGAGCGCCGGCGCCGGCTTTTTCGGTGGGAGTGCCGGCGGCGGACCCTTGGCTCTCTTGGGTGGCGGCGGCGGCGGCGGACCCTTGGCTCTCTTGGGCGGCAGGGCTGGAGGCGGGCCTGTTGTCGGTGCATCGTCCGGATTGTACGGCAGTGGATAGAGCCGGCCGCCGTCGACGTTGAGCTGGTCGGCTTCGGGAGCCTCGCCGAGCTTGGCGACAAGATTGACAAACCAGGCGTCTTCGGCGGCAGCGAGGCTGGCGAGCGCGTCGTCGACAGTCGCCTCGAGGTCGCTCGCCAGAAGTTCGGAGACTAGCTTGGGCCATGGCGTTGGGCCGTATCGCGCTGCACGCGCAGCCTCGAGCTCGTACAGGATGTTGGCCATGGACGGCCGCGCGTCGGCATCGGGCGCGGTCGCGGCAATGGCCAGCTCCAGCAGTGCTGGCGGGACCGAGGCCGGAACGTAGGCCCGGAGGAGCGAGTAGTCGAGGGTATACTCGGAGCCGCGGTCGCGGGCGAGTGGCGGGTCGTCGGCCTGCAGGCCGGTGAGGATCTCAAAGAGAACAATGCCAAACGAAAAGACGTCAGCCGTCGAGTCGTAGGCCTTGCCCATCCGCAGCTCGGGCGCCATAAAGTCCTCAGTCCCGCAAATGGTCATGCGCGAGCGGTCGATGCGGGAGCGCGAGCGGCGTGAGCGAGAGCGCGAGCGCGAGCGCGAGCGATCCGGAGCTGCAGGCTCGGGCGCGGCGGTGACTTCTTTGGTGGTGGCGGCAACGCGAGCAAAGCCAAAATCGCCGAGCTTGGTCCGCCACTCTTGCGAGATAAACAGGTTCTCCGACTTGAGGTCGCGGTGGAGAATGTTCTGGGTGTGGAGGTAGGCCATACCGCGGGCCGAGTCGGCCGCCATCCGGAGCCGGATGTGCCAGCCGAGGCTGTGGCCGTAGTCGTCGAGCTGCTTGCGAACCGTGTCACGGGCCATAAACTCGGTGACTAGCCGGAACGAGAGCCCGCCGTCGTCGGGAAAGACAGCGCCGACAAAGCTCAGCACGTTCGGGTGGCGCAGCTCCTGCAGGAGCCGCACCTCGCGGACAATAAGCTTGAGGAAGGCCTTGATGACAAACGGCGGGAGCTCGGCATCGTTGACGGTGATCTCCTTGACCGCGGTCACGCTGCCCTCGTAGACGGCGGCGTAGACCTGGCCGAATGCGCCCTCGCCGAGCTCGTGGCCCATTTCGAGCTTGGCTGGATCCAGAAAGTAGCGAGGCTCGAGCCAGCTCCGCGCCATGACTGCCATTGAGTCGCCGTCGAGCGTCACAGCAGCCTCCGAGTGCGAGAGCCGGAGAAAGGCCGAGGCTGCATCAGCGTCCGAGACCCAAGCCTCGTCAAGTTCTCCCACCGGTCCGCCACGCTCAGCAGCGAGCAGCGCCTCGCGGTGGGCCCAGTACACAAGCAGGGCCTGCTCAGCCTGGTACGGATAAGTGGGCGGCGGAGCAGCAAAGAGCGGCTCCTCCAGCAGCTTGCCGAGCGTGCGGAGAGTGGCGAGCACGCCCGGCACGTCGCGCCGTTCCAGCAACGCTACAGGCTCAAACACCAGCTGCTTGGGCAGCTCGAGCACCTCCATCAGCTGCGAGTAGAATGCGAGGGTCTCGTCGGGCGTGAGAAGGCCAATTTGAGAGTTGCCCTCGGCATCGCCGTCCTGCGGTGACATCCACGAGGTCAGCGCCTCAAGCGGAGCCGCTAAACACAGCCACTGGCCATCATAGATGCCGTCGTACAGACCGAGGTGCTTGGCCCGTGCCTTGGCGTCAATCGCGACCTCGTTGCCTGCAGACGCCAGGTTGGCCTCTAGCACCCGGTGCGACCACTCGAGGACGGCGACGGCGTCGGCAAGTGTCTGCGCCACTGTGGCCGGGTCGCGGAGCTCGCGCACAATGCCGAGCTCTTGGCCAACCAGCGACGACTCGTCATCAAAACTCGACAGAGTCGGGGTAGCCAAGTCTGGGAGCATTGGCGACTGTGGCGACGGCGGCGGGGTCGGAAGCCGTGGCTCTACTGGTTGCTCCGGTGAGTTTGTGGCCGATGCGGTGGCGCGACGCTCCCGCCGCGCGTTGGAGTCGAGGCGGGCCCGCGGCTTGGCGACTCGTCTGCGGGACGAGCGCGGTGAGTTGAGTCGGCGGGCGACCGGCGGCGCGGCCTTGGTCAGGTTGCGCCCAGCAATGATGTTGGAGGCGTGCGCGACCGAGACTGGACGCGGCCGCGACCGCGGGCGGGCCGGCGGTAGCTGCGGCTTGGGCTTGCGCTCCGGCTTGGGCGCGGGGCTTGCCGGCGGCGCCGATCCCGGGCGCGGCTTCTCCGGCAGTGCCGGCAGCGCGAACGAGGCCGGCCGCGGCGGCCGAGTGACCGATGCGCCTGGAAGCGCCGCGACCGACGACCGACGGGTTGGTGTAAAGTGGATGGCGGCGGCGGCCGTGAGCAGGGCATCGAGGGCGTAGTGATCTCTCCGCGAGGCGCGGACAAAGCCATGAGGGGCGGGGGTAGACGGAATGACCGCGTTGATGGAGGCCTTGTGGGCGGCCATGGACGCGCGAGCAACGACCGAAGCCCGCGGGCCGGACCACGCCACCAGCAGATGGCGATGCGGCTGCGGGTCTGGGAGCGGGCGGAGGGCGAGAAAGACCCAGGCGCAAACGCCCGGTAGCAGCACCTCATCCAGCGGCGGTACGGTCTCGGAGCCCTCGGCCAGGACATGCAGCACCTTCTTCTTGTGATAGCCCAGGACGACGTAGCCCGAAAGAGCGTCAGCCACCCGTTGCAGGGCAGGCGCAATTTCCGGGTGGCTCGCGTCGCACATGGCGGGGACGGATAGGGGCGGAGACGGAGAAGACGGGGAGTGGGGGAGCAGAGGTGGGTGTGGAGGGGGAGAACGGGGACACGGTGATGGGGTGTGGGAGAGGTGAGTGGTTGAGCGGATGCCAATGTCGTTTGACGAGCGAGCGGAGAGTGGCAAGTGGAGCTTGCCGGGGCAGGCCCACGGCAGGCCCGACGCGCAAGCCGGCAAATTAGACCGATTACCGCGATGAGGTCATGAGACGGTAAAGGTGGTCCCTATGTTGTGTGGGTGTGGTCGTGGAGGGATCACATCTGCTCATTTGCGCCAAAGCTATGGAACATGTGTGAGGGATTGTGCAAAGAGAAAATGCTGTTGGTCGCTGATCAAGCTCGTGAGAGCTCTTTGTCGGTGGCAAGGAGAAATGCAGACAGAAGGACGGGAGAAATGAGTGTGCGATGGTGTTTACACACACTGCGGTCTATGTGTAGTGTGGGCGCATGCGCAGGTAGCAGTGGATGGCGGTGGGCTGATTCACGACCTTTTCCTGGGATGCGGTTGATGAGCCAGCTGATCATCAAGCTGATCAAGGCTTTGATCAAGACATTGATCAGCACGCCCGAGTCGGTTTGCCGTTGGGAGGCAGGCGCGGGTCTCACCCCCACCGCCCCTCCTTCTCACCCTGAGCTACACTCGACTCCACAACGTGTGGGACAGTGCTAGCGGTGCCGAGCCATGCCGTCGTCGACCACCAAGCGCAGGTCGCACTCGCGGCAGAAGCGGTCGCGGACCAATGAAGACGGAGGCGGAGGCGGCGGAGGCGGCGGGGCGAGCGGCGGAGCTGGTGACCACAGACGCGAAGGGCTAGGCAACTCGCCAGGCGGTCATGACGAGCGCGGCGGACGGTCGGGGCGGCGTAAGCAGCGTGGTGGCGGCAGCAGCGGCGGCGGCGGAGGCGGTGGCGGTGTGAGCGGCGGGAACGGTGGCGAGGGCGGCGGGCCCGGGGGCGGCGGCGGTGCGGGAATGGCCGGGTATGGCGGGCTGGAGGTTGCCGATGACGCATCTCTCAAGGTGCCGGGCGTGCCACGGGGCGAGCGGACGCTGATGCCGGTCTCGATTTCAGTTTCTGATCCGATGACGCTCATTCTGCTCCTCTCGTCACCGGAGGACTACGTGTTTCACATGGCTGCGCTTGCGCTGGGAGCGTACGCCGAGCTAGCGGCGGAGAATCGCAAGTTTGTGGTTACGCACGGCGGGCTGGCGCCAACGGTGGCGCGGCTAAAGGCGACGCTTGCGCTGCCTGCCGAGGCACAGATGGCTGCGGTGCTGCAGTCTGCGTCGTTTCTGCTCTGCGTGACGGCGCGTGACGGGAGCGCGCGGCGGGCGATGGTCAAACTGGACGTGGTCGAGCCGCTGGCGACTCTGCTCAAGGCCGATGACATTGCAACGCTGGAGAACGCGACGCTTGCGCTGACCGCGCTCTCGCGCGACTACGCGACGGCGGCGGCGATTGTGAGCGTGGGCGGCATTCCGGCGCTGCTCAACCTTGCGCAGCTGCCTGATCAGGAGCTTGCGTACTACGCGACAGTTGCGCTTGGCAACTGCGCGGCCGAGTACAACTCGCGGCGGGCCATCATGTCTGTTGGCGGCATCCCGATTCTGCTCTCGCTGCTGGCGTCAGAGACACCCAACCTGCGGCTCGCGGCGGCTCGCGCCATCGCACGACTGACCAAAGAGTTTTCGAACCGGGTTGCGCTGCGTACGGCTGACGGCCTCCCGCTCGTGTTGCAGTTTTTGGGCGACCCGAGCCTCTCGTTCCTCGCGCCGTATCTTGCGGCAACCATGGCGGCGTGCCTGGAAGAGCAGGGCACGCTCGAGGCGCATGCCGAGCTCGGGTACGTGCAGGTACTGCTGACGGTGCTGGCAACGTCAACGGCGGCTGGCACGTTGGCGCAGGCGTCGCTTGCGCTTGCGCGGGTGTGCAACCACGAGCCGGCGCGGAGCGTGGTGCTCCACCACGACGCGTTTGGCTCTGTGGTGGTCAACCTGCTCAACGAGTCGACCGACACAACGGTACTGGCGCACCTTGCGCAGCTCATACTCAACTGCGCGACGACGTCGGCCAACTGCACGCTCCTCCGGGAGCTGGGCGCGATTCCGGGCCTTGTGGCGCTGCTGCGGCACTTTAATCCTGTGGTCCATGCCACAGCGCTGGCGGCGATCGCAGCGTTTGCGCTCCACTACGAGAACCGCAGCGCACTGCGACACGCCGACGGACTGCAGGCGCTGGTGGCCATTCTGGACGGCGGGCGGCAGGAGCCGAGTGTGATCCGCAACGCGGCTGACGCGCTGACCTCGATGTGCCAGGAGCACGAGTCGCGGTCGATTCTACAGGCGCTCAAGATTATGCCGATCCTGCTAGCTTCGCTGAAGGCGGCAGCGGAGGACGCAGAGCTTGTGGCTGCGCTCACGCGGGCGATTGCCGGAATGGCACATGAAGAGACGGCGCGCGACGAGCTGACGACGCTTTCGGGTGTCGACCTCCTTGTGCCGCTGCTCTCGTCCGAGTCGGCTCCGGTTCGGCGCGATGCGGCATGGGCGATTTCGGTCTGCTGCGCACAGGAGATGTTTGCGCAGCAGGTGTGCAACCGCGGCGGCATCGACCAGCTTCAGAACTTGATCCATGGGCAGGGTTCGGATCGTGAGCGGGCGCACGACACGCTTGCGCAGTTGCTCAAGAAGAACTTTTCGGCCAAGTACGCACTGACAAGCAAGCTCGGATGGGAGGATGTCATCCCGGCAGGCTTCTACGACATGGGCCGGTCGCGGCGGTTCCAGCCGCTGGCAGAGCTTCGCGAGACCAAGCTCAACTCGAAGCGCGAGGTGCTTCTTGTCAATCCGCTCAAGGACAAGGTGCTTGGCGAGCTCATCACGCGGGCGATTGCGCTGGTGGAGGAGGTGCCGGAGCGGACGGACCGGATTGCGGCACTGGCGGCCATGGTGGCGGACGCCATGGGCGGGCCCAAGGACTGGCTCTCGTACAACGAGTTTGGCGAGTACGAGTACGAGCTCTCTGCGCTCAAGGTGGCGTGCAAGTCCAACGTCATTCCGCTCGGCGCAGTGACCAAGGGCGTCTTTTACCACCGCGCGCTACTGTTTAAGATCCTGGCCGACAACGCCAAGATCTCTGCCACGCTCGAACGCGGTGAGTATACGCGGGCATGGAATGTGGTGCGGGTCCGGTCCAAGCCGCGCATTGTCGACCTTACCTTTGACGTCGGCGCGCTGTATGTGGTCGGAACGGAAAAGGCCGAGCGGTATGCCAAGATCTAGTTTTGAAGCGGTAGGTGCGAGCAAACGATTTGTGTGTGTGTGTGTGTGTGTGTGTGTGTGCGTGCGGTGGTGTGCGCGTGCGTGGCATGGAGGGGAGAGGTACGTATTACTCGCGTAGTCGTTACGACGACGACGACGCGGACTCCGACTCGCTGGCGTACTCGTCCTCGTCGTCCGAGGTCTCGTAGGCATATTCGTAGAGGCCCGACTCGTTAGAGGCGTCGGCGTACTCGTACTCGTACTCGGCGTCTGCGGCGGCGGCGGAGCAGAAGCAGAAGGCCGAGAGATGGAGGGCAAAGGCGATGAGCGAGCATGCGCCGGCAAAGGCGCCGAGGGCAAAGGCCTGTCCGTACGAGGCCTTGCCGATGCAGGGGTCGTTGTTGAAGCACAGGATCTTGTCGCGGGCGTCTGAGGTCTGGGCGTAGTACACGATAAAGCCGAGGAAGCCAAAGAAGAAAGTGATGAGGTCAAAGATCATCATGGTGATCATCTCGCACCGGCCACGGGCCGAGACGCAGTCGCACTTGTAGGCGGGCGGCATGGCGAGCGAGGCGGCACCGACGAGCGAGGCCACGCCCGAGACGACAGCGATAAAGATGAGGGCAAAGGCAGCGCGGCCGGCGCCCTTGATGTCGTCCAACGCCGAGGTGTTCGGGTTGGTCGACATGGGGAACGAGCAGCAGTCCGACCACAGCTCACGGACCTCGGTGGTGATGTTCGGGTGGGCGATGGTGTAGCCAAGGAGCGAGGCCTTGAAGTCGACTGCGTTAGCATCGACGTTGTACACCAGCCAGGCCTTCCACATGAGAATGAACACTCCGCACAGCAGACCGAGCGCAAGGACCAGCGCAGACGCCTGCATGGTCAGGAACCGCGGCTGGCACCACGAGTCAGAGAGCCTGTCTCCACCATATTGTTGTCGTCGACACCGTCGCCACCGTTGTCGTCGTCGCCGTCGCCGTCGTATCCCGCCAGGTCACCCCCGCAGCCACCGCAGTGAGTGCCCCTCCGCCCACGCCTGTGCCTTTGCCCGCCGGCGGCCACACTACCTACTCACCCACCACAGCCCCAAACTGCACCATATGCGCGCGCGGGGGGGGGGGGGGGGGGCAAGGGTAGGGGTGGGTGGGTGGTTTGGCCTTCCCCCCCCCGCCCCCCCCCCCCCCTCCCCTCCTCTCGCCCCCACGCTGGCGCAAAAAACCGCATTGCTTCCTTCGCCGCACCGCAGCCAAGCAGGACGGTGCTGGGAGGAGCTTCTGGGCTACTTATGTGGGGAGGAAAGAGGTGCGGGAAGGGAAGGGAGGTGGGGAAGTTCATGGGCAACGTACCCTGCAGGCTCCTGCTCACTCTGCTTGGACGTCGACGAGCTCATCCTTCTTTCCGCAGTAACGTGTGGCGTGTTGGCGGGTGGACGGTGGTGGGAAGGGACTGTGTGGCTGGGGCCAAAGGCGTTGTTCGGCGGGGTCCGATTGATAGCGGGCGAATGACCGGTGGCGGAAGGGGGAGGGGGGGGGGAGGGGGGGGAGGGGGGGGGGGCGAATGCGAACGACTGCCAATTCGTTTGTCGGTGGTGCTCTGCTCTCGCCATCCTGGACGGGCTTCGGCCTTGACAGAACGCGTAAGGCAAGGCCACCGCGGCAGCGGTGAGGCAACAGCCCGCCAGCCACAGGATCCAGCCAGAGACAGACCGCACCGGTGGAGAGACCTGTCACGCCTTCCCCCCAGGCGCCCGCCAGGAACTCCTGCGGAGGAGCCACGGGCGTGGACTGAGGCAAGGCAGCCGCCGCAGGGATGAACACCGCCGGCGACGACGGCGACGGGGGCAAGCCGTGTCCGCCGCAGCAGCGCCCGGGAGTACCACCGCCAGCTGCGGATGGGAAAGAGGTTGCTGTTGCTGCGGCAACTTGCGTGGACAGTCCTGCCCACCGTCGCCGCCATGCCCGTCTTTGCTCCCCGGGACCGCCTCCCGTTGCGTCCTGCCGTACTCTCGCGCCCGTGTCCCCGGCAATGCCTCGGGACTACAGGCGTGGCGCATCGTCTCGCCTGCCACTAACTAGCAGTCTGTTTCACGGCAGCCTGGCTGCCAATGGCTGGATCTTGTCGGAGTCTGACGGGCTGCCGCCTCGACCCTCTTTTCCCGCTTTCCCTCCTCTCATCTACCACGACCATGGACGCAGGCTGTCCCTCCCCCCCCCCCCCCCCCCTCCCCCTCCCCATTGCGCACGACGGGACTGTGCCAATGGCGGCCTGCGATCCCACGATGCCTTCT